TTATGAGGTTGAGTGGAAGAGCAGCTCAATTGAATAGTCAAATAATATTGTCATATAATTTTTTTTAAGCTGAACTCCGCCTATTATGCCAACAATTAGCATTTCAAGATGGAAATAATTATTTATTATGTAAAATGGAAAATAAAGTTGCTTTTATTATTATTATTATTACATGCATGCTTGATCTCTCAGGTTCGTCGTTTTATTATACTTAGAGTCGTTAGACTGTAGGTTGAGTCGATTTATTCCTAATGTGGCATTTCTCTGGAATATGTAGCACAGACAGTTGTATATTGCGTGTTATGCAGAGGGGTGGATTGTCAAATAAGACGTGTTTGGCTAATACGAAGTCTTATCAGTACAACTAGTTCATTGCGAGTCAGATTTCCATGACTTAATGGAGTGGTTTGAATTTTTCAATTAACCTCCAACCAAATTCTAATCATTCTGTTCATTCATCGCTAGATTGACTTTAGATATTGAAACCTCGACTACGAAGAATGGTGAAGATGCAAGAAGATCAACAAACATATGCTTAAATTATACCTTTCTGTAAAAGTATTGTTAGAATGCCACCTTTTTAAGTTAGACAAAATTCGTTTGTGAGTTGAAGAAAGAAATATTGAATTATGAAACATAAATTATTGTCATCAATTTTGAATCTATTTGTTTCTCTTACAACACTGAATCTGAGGAAATGATCAACAATATATTTTAGCAAAATTCAATACAGACGCGACGTACCTCCACGTATATTCATCAATTTCAAGAAAGAAATATGTGAAACTACTCCTCTAAGCATAACTGCATAACTTTAGGCTACTATGTTCTATCCAAAAAAAGTCATCCGCCTCACTGGAAACTCAGTCGTCATATAAATTCTAAATAGTTTCAAAATTAGAGTTTCTCCAAATTATTATAATCTGAAGTGATTTGAAACTAACGTAAAATTCTAGTTCTGTACAGAAAGCGCTCTCACAGCGGGATTTTCTCGGAGTGATCGTGCGTCTCCACAAAAAACAAGTTTCCAAGCTTCAGGAAAATCGCAATTCATAATAATGATACATTCCATTTGGAATGCGTGGTATACCTATCCAATAGCTAAACATGGTTTTCATTTATTCCTCTCAATACCATTGATTTGTTTCTCATTTTGAATCCATGAGGTCTATGATCAATTTCATCTTCGTATTTTAATTGATAAAGAATAGTACTCGTACAGTACTTTTTATCTGTAGTGACCTTGAAGAGATATTAGTCCACAGCAGCTGATTTTATAAAACATCTTTTGGTACGTACTTCAGGGGGCTATAATCAACATCCTGATTTATTATATTTTTTATTTTAATTTCTTTTGATCTGTTTCGTGGTCGTACCTGCTCTTTCTCATTTTTGTGTGATATCTATTGATTTGAAAAACTTTTCAAACTGGTAAAAAGTGGTGCTCTGTGAGTCTGTCCCACACAGACATTTTCACGTAAATGTAATAAGATTATTCAATACATATATGGGAAGAATTTATTACTTCTTTGAATGAGGGCGATGATATCTTCCCGAACGAAAACGTTATATATGAGAACAACTGAGAACTAAATCCTCAAATTTCAAAGATAAATAAGGCCCCTTAAGGCGGTCAATTGCAAAGCCAAGCTTCGACATCGATCGCCCAAAAAGATTCGCCCTCTGTTTTTCACTGCAGCTTTCATTTCAAGGTAACTACAGAGCCCAAACAGAACGTATTTATGATTCAATACCACTGTTTCCACCCGACATCCTCCTCATCAGTGGTGCCGGGCTGAATCACAAATGCGTTGCTGGACTCAACTGTTGTTAAATGACATTCCTGAGTAAGTAGGGGAGCGGAAGAAAATTTCAACACTGGAAAAATATAAAATGTTAAAGATATTGTAACGAATCTGAAGCCGGCCCTGACCGATATCTCAGCCAGCAAAGACATGACTCACCGCAAACCGCCGCGAAAAGTGTAGATGAGTATCGAAACCACTAGAGGAATCTAGAACGATCGTTACCGATATAAAAGGTCGGGTCCTCGCTCAGAGAGGGAGTCTGTATTCAGAAAGCAAATCGAGCGGTTAAACAAAGAATTCGAACAGTGAAGATGAATTAAGCGTTAGTTGAAATCTATTCAACTGAAGAAATTAAGTTGTAATGATGTAGATAATGTACTGGAAGCTAAGAAATAATTCGGAAGGTCCTAGGTAGCAGTCATCACACCACTCTCTTCAGCAATCTACGGTATTCATCGGATAAAAAAAAATCAAAATCTTCGGGCGTAGCGTAACCTGAGTAAATATGTAACGATTTTCTTATTTTTTTATTTACTTGTGATGCACAGCTTTGGTGTAGTAATGAATATCATTGGAGTTTTTTTCCCAACACCAATCCGTTACTTTAACTTTAAGAGGTGATCAAAACACGTGTCGAGGTGTAAAATAAAGGTTTGGTGTTGGGGAAAAAACTCCACTACTATTGATTTTTTCATTTGACCAATACCGTAGATTGCTGAGAATAGTAGTGTGATGTCTGCTACCTAGGACCTTCCAAACTATTTTTTAGCTTTCAGTACATTATCTAGATCATTATCTTTTTTCTAATAAAAGCGTTCAACATAAACATTTTTTTACTTATTCTTATTGTATTCAGATCATTTATTGCCTCGGTATTACAAAGTTCATTTCCCTACAATTTGTTGCAATCTAACTCCTCAGTATATTTTGTAGCTGCGGTCATCATGAATTTGCATTTATTTCAAAGTGTACTACTACAGTACTAGTCATGCCCTGTCATCTGATACCCATATTGAGGTAGTTGTGAAATAATATGTAATCCACCATTTTGTAGCTGCAGCCATCTTGGATTTACAATGATACAGAATTCATTAAATCGTACTGCCATCAACACTTAATGTATGTATCAAATATCAAATCAATCTGTCAACAGGAAGGGGGTCAAACTTCAACTACTAAATTTGACACAAACAAACATGGCACGCTGAATATAACCGTTTAAGAAAAAATAGATCGTTATATTCATTTGTATTGATCATTTCTGGGTTACTTTCAGCAATTTCCGTTAAACTTTCAGTAAAAATATTGTGGATGTGAGTTTCCTACTAAAAATCGTATTGTAGTTTCTTCATTTGTATTTTTCTTCATGTTCATTGATTGCATGGGTACTCAAACTTGCTATATTAGAAGTGGATCTGTTGGACCCTTGTCCAGTTCAACTGATGAAGCTACCATGTAGCAAAGCCGGTCTTAAATAAAATTTATAGTGTCTCCCATGACTGACGTAACTGATAATGCCTCCTAGTGGCTCGGAGAGTTATTGACATAATGTACCCAGAACACGAAACTGATGACCATATCAGTCGAAGCTTTCGATACCAGAAGGAAATTAGGTAATAGGGTCATTTTCATTTTCTGACTTGAAAATTTCCAATTATCTCCGAAGAAAAAATAAATTATGATGAATTTATACCTTTAGATAAGTGAGCGAAGCCTTTGAGGTTAATGGTCCATTTCGGGAAGATACTTTTACTAAATGTTGACTGGGTTTCGAAGATAATACTTCCTTCTGATGGTGATTGGCTGGACTCTGAAAAAAAAATAATGATGTTTAAATCATGAAGAAAAAGTATGATATATTGGATAGACTATGAGGTCGAGGTGGAAGTATTTATATACTTCATATTCCTTTTGCAGAGATAACTAATTGGGTTCATAAAAAATATTAAAATTTTGAGTGGAACTAATGAATTTCGCACTTTAATTTAACCCTATTCTCTCTCCACCAATATATTTTCTGGAAATGATTTATATAAGAGCTAAATATAAATTACGATAGATACAACCATCAAAGGGTCAAACTTTTGAAAAAACATACACTGTGACGGATTTGAATTAGTCAGACATCGAAGAAGTCTACTAGAACACCAAACGTCATGAATGTGTCTGCATTTCCAGGGCCTACTTTTAATAATTTTTAAAATTATTAATGTAAAAAAACGAAAAAAAAAAAGCTATTTTTTCAAAAACCGAAGAAAAAACACCATTCACATAGTTTTTGAATGATTCGTATCAACTTAACCTCACAATCGTCCGCTAATGAAAAACTAAAAGGGAATGAAATTTGTAAAATATTCCACCTATTTATTTCACCAATTCATCGGTATTTGATTCTCCATTTCCCAGAATTTCATTAAAAATTTCCAATCTTTGAAAAAATTTAAGGGAAGAACATTCGAATAAAATGATGTCGTTTATTGGAGAATTATGACGGAAGTTTTACAATAATGAGCAGATTTAGATAAAATTCTAAACAGTGATAAACTAAAACTCGCTGAATCCAGTGGTGTAGTCAATAATTTCAATGGAAGTTTCAAAATTGAATTGGTGGAATATCTAAGGCAAAATTTTCAAATATTATTTCCTTGTGCTGATGAATGAATTTAGATGTAATTTTGATACAGACTATTTCAAAATTACATGAATCCAGTAATGTGTTAGGTTTTTAACATTGAAAACTAGAATTAAAACTGGCCTAGTAAACGATAATTTATTGGAATAACAATATTGCGATTGGTTATAAAATGTATGTCTTATAAGGATGCTTTTATTTTTAATACGTCAGACTGTAAAAAGACACCACCAAGATATAAATATAATGAGAGTAGGTATAAAAAGAGTGAATTTGGCGAAGAAATGACTATGATGGAATATAAAAAATGAATACAAGTGAAGGAGGTGAATGGAAAATGTATTGACAAAGATAACTTATTCAACATTATGATATTATTGAAAGTCTTTCCCATCCTCTCCTTGGATACCCTATTACTTTTTGACACGTTATCCATTAATATTCAAATGAATCATCAGGAATCCTACTACGTAATTTCAAAATTGAATTTCACTTTATTCTTGTTTTCACATTTCCGTTAATTGTTTCTGACGCTTCGTCTGGGAAACACGTCTGTAGGAATACAGTCACTCGCTTCTCATAGCCTACGCAGCAGGAGAGAACGAGAAAACCGGCTTTCCCAGCGTCTCGCTTTCAACGAAGAATTGACACATTTTCCTGCAAACAATGAACTTTCGCCTACGGCATTTCCCGCGCCGAATGAAAAAGCCCAGAGGACTCCCACGTCGCAACGAACTCTGTTAATTATCTTTGTCCTTGCCATGATAAAGCTTCACATGATCTGGTTAACAATACGTGTATGCAAGGATGAACACGTGTTGGAATGGGCTGCTCGTGTTTATGGTCGAGAAAAAATTATTTTATAGCTCGGGAAAATTGGGAATATTTTATTAGTACAGGAAAATTGGCGCTATATTTAGTACGAAATCCATGTTTAACCAGACAGGACTAATGACTTGGTCCTCGTTTCACAGGTTACTGTCAACAAGGTACCAAATATTTTTTCTTAGCAAATGTGCTAAGAGTTCTGAATGATAAAATGAATTGCGATGAAATTCAGACCCATTTTGACCGAGTCTGACAAAAAACTGAGTAAAATCAACCTTTCAATGTGCTTATCACGATTATTAGATAGTCCGCTTCTGATCTGAAATGGAACAGTACGAGTATCCCGCTATATCACAGAGAAATAACGTCACATTGATTGTTTGTATTCATTTACATGAGAAGGAATCTCAAATTTTAAATAATCTCAATCGATTATTCAAAATTTATTCCAAAATATTCTCACCAATGAAATATGGATGTCTATACTCAACTGTAAATCTACCCACATTCACAAATGTAAAAAAATTTTTTTTGATGATAGACAATCATATTGCACTTTCAATTCTTTTCCATATGCTCTCTATAATTTTTTCTGAAACAACCCAGCATCTACAAAGCTTCTAGTCCAATGAATTTTGTAGTTAACATCTGTCCGAGAAGTACCCAAAAAATGGTAAGAAGAAAATTCCAAACAACTGTAAACTAGTTGCGTTACTATAAGTGATATTGAAATTCATGGGCAAGGACACGGGTACGGGAGTTTAGTATATCCGGAAATTTATAGTATCTATCCTGATTGACAGAGAGCAATGGTAGTACGATGTCGGTATTTTATGTGGTTATCAAGAGAATTGGGTAGTAGTCGCTGACAACCAGGTCAGCCGTATCATATCAAAGTCGGGACTTACGCCAAAATAAAATCAAATTACATTGAAAGGCCGACTGGTTGTCAGAGACTGCTATCCAATTCTGTTGGTAACCACATTGAATACCGACATCGTGCTGCCATCGTCTTCTGGTGGTCATGGTAGGTACTATAAATTTCAGGATACACTAAAATTGTACTTATGAGTTTCTCTGGGCTTAGTATTCTTTGGTATAAGTAAGCTTGGACATCTCTTTACGAAGACGCCATCTATGGGATTGATATGAGGCCTGAACCACGAATAATAACACATAGATAGATAAGGGAAGATGTCAATATTTGAATTTAATTTTTTAAATTTCTAATCTTCGATTAGTAAGTGAAGACTTATATGATTATTACTTGAGTGCTTTGAGTTGAAACCAAACCCCAAAAACAATGCTGAATATAAGTTAGATGGTTATCTTACAGTGTCGCCATTCATGGGATTGATAGAAGAGGTAAAAAACGAATATCAATGTCGATATCATAGATGGCATCATAAGGAGAAATGTCTATATTTAAACTTGAAAATACATTCCATTCAATCTTAGCACGGTGATAGATGAGCTCCTATGAATCTGTAGAGTCTTTGGAAATATTAGAAATATTATTAGGCTTACTTTGATATGGTGTATTCTTGACTTGCGTGACTGTCATATACACTTCATGGAACTTGTGATGGAAAGTTTCCCTGAACAGTTTACAAAACCCAACACGTGTTATACTATACAATAGCTTCTCAGGTTTGTTTATACAGTAAGAACACGCCTGAGAAAGATATTGTACGATGAAACACGTGTTGCAGTTTTGTGAACCGTTTAGTGCGCTGTATATTATTTCTTAGTGGAATATTACTTGCAGTGTGTCATTACTGACCTGGGGTGGAGTTACAAATAATAACCTGAAACTATACGACTCTGAATACATCTTATAGGTTAAGTCAGGTTAGGTACAAAGTGAGTGGGTTTATTCAACCCTCCACGGCAACCCGCAAGGGTGTACTGTGGCTCACGCCTATTCACACTCGACCCAATAAGCCCAACTTCTTAACGAAGCCGATTAGTTTGTATGGTGAGCGGTCTTTCAGGTCAGATGGTAAGAGTACGGCTCTGCCGAACTTTGAAAGCCTAATTCGGTCCCCAGCGGGGCAGGCACAAAGTATGTGCTCTGCTGTTTCATAATTTTCCAAACGGAGGCGACACACACTGTCTTCCGTCAGTCCGAGTCTCTGCATACGATGATTCAAATGACGGTGACTTGTAAGAAGGCCTGTTAGACATCGTAGTTCATACCTACTGTAGTCCAACAACTATTTGGTATCAAGCTTCGAAGGATGAATAAACGCCTTGGAGTGAGACAATCCTAGAAGATTTTGTCAGAAGTTCATAAACCTTTTATCCAGGTGTTCAATCTTTGGCAAAGCCTCCTTTGCAAGGAAGTCAGCAGCCTCATTGCCTTGCAGGCCAGTATGGCCAGGAATCCAGACCAGAGACTATCTGTTAAGTCTTCCTATCGAAGAGAGTCGTTTTTGGCAATTTGCTACATATTTAGGCTTTGCTCGGTAGGAGCCAAGAGCATCCAACGCCGCTTGACTGTCCGAGAATATTTTTATTGACTTTTGTATGAGGTTGGATTCTTCCAATCTCTCCGCACACAATTCAATAGCGTAAGTTTACGCTTGAAATATAGTCGCATAGAAATACATCTATATCTGCAATCTAGTTCTGTACTTATAATATAATGTTTCGAATTACTGGGCATTCCAACTTTTATAAAATATGGTGAAGGTGTGGGGGCGAGGTGTTAATACTGTTGTAAATGGGGCAGGTGCGGCCTTGATCACTTACGAAATGTTAAGTTTAACTATTTATCTTGATATTAAAAGGGAGTAGAAGGAAAGTTGAATTCAGTTTTAGTAAGTGTTAGAATAGTATACAATAGAAAGAAGAAATAGGACAATAAAGAGTGATCTAGTGAAGTAAATGTATAAGTTGTGTCTAAGGCGTGTTATTAACGAGAAAGTATTACCAGTATACATTTTAGATATTGAGGTATTCATTCATTATGTGCAATTTTTTGAATAGAAGTGACACAAGTTTGAAAGTTTGTTAGCGGAGACGAAGAAAATACGAAAATGAATGCAGCAAAGGGTATTTTTACAGAGGTATATAACTTTAAGTTAGAAACACTTTGTTAACTGTCGGCCATTTTATCAGCTGTTAAGTGATTTATGTTTAGTTTGGTTTGGCATTTGAAAATGAATACACTGATATCTGAAAGACGCTTCCAAATTGTGCAAATTTGTTTTGAAAATCATGGTTGTATTCGAAATACGTATCGCGCAACTAGGTCCATTCTACGACCAACATAATCGTCCATCAGAGCAATTAATTCGATTACCTATAAAACTATTTTGCACCACGTTTATTTTAGATGATAATAC